ATACTTACCTTCACAAGAGGGTGTATGATGACTCCACTCTCCCTCGTTGCATGTTATAGTTGAAGCTCCCACAAGATCAAAAGTCCTGTTTTTACATCGAAACTGTACACTACCACCATGCGAGTGGTTCTGGCCTAACTTCCACCCATTTTGAGGATTTCCTGGATCCTGACAACGTTCTTATGAAGAATGAATAATTAAGAATGTTTATGCAAATTATAACGAAATTTTAGTGGGTACCTTAAGAAAACGCTGGGAAAGGTAGTACTCAGTGTTGTAACTTATTTATTTATTTATTTTTTCACTTAACGTTCTGCCGCTGCTAGCCGACAAATGTAGTCGACAGTGAAACAAAAGCAAGGAATAATGATTATCGTACGTCCGTCATGTTGCTCTGGCACGTGACAATACAAATATCAAGTGTAAAAACTTAACGAAGACGATGTTGTTTAACAGATCCATATGGTGTAGTAACATACTGGCAAAATAAAATATTTGAGATTGTCTGTGGAAACATTGGGGTTACTGGCCTACACAACTCCTATCCACGTGAAATAGCCGCTTTGAAAGTTTTGCTCGAACTGGTTTATCTGTAAGGATCTGCCCCTTTTGTATAGACTACGAGTAGTCCCTCTTTTGCTTAGTCCAAAATCCTGGGGGCGAGGAGCTCCTTTCGCGCGCTCCTCGCCCCCAGGATTTCGCGCGGCCATATTTTTCTCGCGGTTATCTTTCGCGTGACGCACGAACAAAGCGAAAGAGGGACTACTCGTAGTCTACCTTTTGTATGGTACGATAGGGGATCTTTGAATATTTCGCGAAGCAGTGGTTGATTTTGGATTAAATGCCAGTGTTAAACGAGGGTGACAGGCCGTACATGGCCGGACTCCTACGCTTCTTGACATTAGTACATTTTTCTTAATTTCGGTCTCGCGACCTTTTTTGCTCCACACTTGTTTCTGAAGGGCACTTAATGTTGTGTTTTTAGGAGGACATTTCACCAGAGTAGAGCCGCTAGAGTCCATAGGTCTGTGCGGTTTCCGCTTTTATCCGCATATAATTTGTAGATTGACACCTCTGTTTTTTTGCCGCGTGCTATTTTTTTTTTCGGCCTATTAATTTATATTGCAAGATATGTTTTAAGTTCTCTAAATATTAACTCTGGAGGGACAAAGTTTGAAAGATTCCGTGAACATGTTGGTTACTTGCATTTTGTAATATTACGCCGAGCTCGGCAGGCTGACGTTTGAAACACAGATGATCGCTTAACTCTTCTCTCGCGCGGTTGACTCCAAGGTTGGCCTACTCGAAAGCTTTACCTGAATAAGTTATGAGGTATGATCCTGTAACTCAATAGGGCAGAAAGATGTAGCTGGAACTATGTTTTCTATTTGCATCATTACTTACTTTTACATGCTGGGATTCTACCGTCCCATATTCCTTTCCTGCAAGTTAAAGAGGCTGGGCCTTGTAAATCGTAGCCAAAATTACACCCAAATATAACTGAGGAGCCATAACTGAAGTCGCCCCCGATGACGCGTCCGTTCTCGAGTGGTCCCGGATCTCTACAAAGTCCTGCATGAAAATATTGACAAGAAACAGATAAGCAGTGCGTCCGAAACTCTCACCGCTCTGTGATAATCGATCCGTCGATCGATTGTCCACCAAGCTACCGAGCTACCTACCTACCTACCTGCCTGCCTGCCTGCCTGCCAGTAAAACCGATCGCTTTTGAATAAAAATGTAAAAGAAAAGTATTTCATCTGACAATTTGACATTTTAGGGTGTTTTTGTTATAAAAGGAGGCGCTCTAAACAAAATATACATGAGTGAATGGCTCAAACCTTTGCAAGTTGGAGAATTTGCATTCCATTTGCCATCGATGCACGTAATCTCCTTGGAGCCTTTCAGTTGAAATCCTTTGTTGCATGAGAATGAGACTACTGCTCCATGGTTTGTATTGTGGCTATTTACTTTGCCATTTGAGAGCGCTGGCAGTGGATCACAAGTCGCTGTAAAAGGGGAGAAAACAGGAGACAACTTAAATTCATAGATTGCTCGGTATTTTAAACGGTAATTTAATGTTATGTGATATCTACCTTTACATTCCGGCCTTTTTGAATCCCAGGTGCCATCGTTACAGTTCAATTGTGGCTTGCCTACCAAATTGTAGCCCTGTGTAGTGCATTCATATTCCACCATCTGACCATGCGAAAACTGGTTGCCATTTCTTCTCCCTCGAGCTAAATGACCAGGATCATCACAAGATGCTAACAGAGGAATATATAATAGGAAAATATTATAAAATATCACAAGATGCTAACAGAGGAATATATAATAGGAAAATATTATAAAATATAATATAATGTGCCTGTGGAATAAAATATTTCTCAACAGAAATAAAGGCATTAGGGTGTTGAAATTGAAAAAGAAAAATTGCGTTAAATTTCGCAAGCAAATTTAAAAAAAGGTCCTAAGGTCCAAATTTGACATTACAAACGGGGAACACCTTTTTGGAAAACTGGGTACGAGATGTTTATGTTACAAACCCTGTGACGTCATAGAGTTTTTAAGAAGGCTTTTACCGAAGACCATACAACAAAGTAGCATGCATTTGCTCCTTAGAAAATATTTTTCTTCTCGTTTTATATCTCTTTTCACCTGCCTTTACTATTTTCACTGTATCTTTTGACTTAAAAAAAAAAAATGGCACGAGTTGGACCAACCCTATGACCCTATGACGTCATAAAATCATGGCCAAACGAGCAAATGTTTTCCTAATTGATCACGTGTCCTTGCGAGAGCACAGTATAAAAGTTTAAGTAGAGTGGAAAAATTCACAGTCCAAAACATTACCATCAATACCACAGATCTGAATTACTTGAGCCAACTTTTTCATTTGGTTTCACGGGTACAATAACGATCACAACCACCCATTTATCATGTCTGAAATGAGCTTACCCTTGCAAGAAGGAAGATTTCTATCCCAAAACCCATCGTCACAATGACGAATGTTGGTGCCAGTTAAAGTGTACGATACAGCACAAGCGTACTCTACGTGGCTGCCATGTGGCAGGAGTTCACCTATTATAAAAATGCCGTTTGTCGTGTGTCCGTTGTCTAGGTTACCATCTAAAGCACATCGAGCTGTAAAATACAAACATTAAAATACACCCACTTTAGTTCTTTATAACGCTTGGACTCTCAAGACGCGGAGTTAGCAACCACAGAGAGCAATGCAAAACGCTAAACAAATCCAGTATCGCAGAAATTAATGCTTAGAAGCTTTGAATTGAATATTAACAAACTGCAACTAACACTATTCACCACGCACAGCGTTACATTTTATACTCAGTGTATTTGCACTGTCGGCTAACAAATTTATCTTTGGCAAAAGGGGATACAAAGAAGATTTGATGAATAAAATCACATATAAGGAGGGCCGGAATGTCTCGTTCTCAGTGAGCGGATTGCAAATAGATCGAAGATCAAGTAGTTTAAACCCGTAATGTGCAAACTAACACTAATTTGCGAGTAATGGTTGATATGAATAACCGTGTCACCTTTGCATTCAGGTATGACGCCACTCCACGCTCCACGTCTACACCGAATTGTGTCATTCCCCACTAAGTCGTGATTTCTATTGCATTTAAAAGTCACTGTTTGTCCCTCCTGGAAATTGTTATTCAGGCGTTTTCCGTTGGATGGTTCACCGGGATCTGGACACACCGCTGTGTCAAAAAGGAGAAAAAAAAAATAACAAATGATATCTGGAGTTAAAAGAAAAACACGTAAAAATAAATAAAGGTTAAAAGATCTGCCGCGATTGTCATTTCAATTAATGCCTTGATATCAGTTTTTAAAAGCTGTATTCCATGCATGTTCCCGATCAACTTCTTAGACGAGATCAAACATTGTAAGAGAAAATTTGTTAAAATTAAAAGAGAAGCGAACCAGCAAGTTCATTTCACTGTAAAATGTAGTATCGTCCCCAAAATTTACGATCCAAGTGGTCAGCATAAGAAATAAGCTCTAGCCCTACCGGTGAGAGCTCGTTACTTACAGTGCTGAGCAAAGGGAATGCGGACTTTGCGGACGCTAAGTATGTGGAACGGGAAAACCATCTATTCAAACGTGAGACTGTCAAAATGTATGTCAAGRGTAAAACACTATGAGATCGCAATATTTCAGCCTGACTGAGGTTTCCCAAAATAACGGTTGTGGCTCCATCGCGATTACGTTGAACTGAGACTGTCCAAATGTATGTCAAGTGTAAAACACAGATTTACTTACCAACACAATTAGGAACAGAACCACTCCAAGAGCCATCATTGCAGTGGATATTTCTACTACCATCTAGTTGATAACTTCGATCGCAAGTAAATACCACAAACGAGTCGTGTCTAAAGTCGTTTCCTTGCATGCGTCCATTAGGTGGTGTTCCTGGGTTGTCGCATGGTGCTAAAAGGCAAGATACTCATTCAATAAACCTCGAGTAGCCGGAATAAAGAATTCAGTACTACATTCGGAAAAAAAAAAAAAAAATCATGGCAAATTCCTTGAACAATGACATGAAAATCCACAAAGTTTGGAGTCCAACGCTTCAAGCTTTCAAAGCTTCAAGTTGCTATAATTCGTTTAGGCCCAAAACGTCCCCTGGCCGAAAAAGGGTTAACACTGTTAAATAATTTAGAATTTTATTAGCGAAATGTGTTTCTGAGGGAAAAATAAAGGATAATTACATTTGAAATTTCATTATTAAGTATTTGCATTTTTTTTTTATTTACCTTTACATTCTGGGGGATCGAGGTTCCAACTTCCATCATTGCATGTCAGTCTGTCGTTGCCTTTGAGTGTATACCTTGCATCGCATTGATACCAAACTGTTTCGCCGTGCCTGTAATCAGAACCGATCTTTTTCCCGTGAATAATATCACCAGGAGATAGGCAGAAAGCTAGAAAATAAAAATAGAGATGCTTTGATGGGTCTATAGCGAGTATCTTCTGAGGGGCGAGTTTGTAATTGGGTTACCGAGGTCATCAATCCAAATGCTTGAACTGTCGGACAAAGTCCCTTTATATCAGCTACATATTGTTTGGTGCTGCCGACTCGAGAAATACAAAAAAAGATGGATCGCTACTCTTGCAAGTACTTCTCGAGCAAGCTAGGTTAGTAAGTAGTTTATAATATGATGGCACTTGTCGGCTTTCGGAAACAAAACATTCAACATACCAATCAGTCCAATCAGAACGCTCGGATATATTTTGAAGCCTATCTTGCCATATAATAACTTTACGTAAAGATATATAGTTTCGTATTAAATTCTTTAAACAAATGACTCTTAAACGTTTTGTACATGCGCTAAGAAGTTTGAAATCCCCAAGCTACAAACTCCATCAAACTTTTGATTTTCGGTTCTGTTCCTCTTGTTTCAGTACATAGGGCTCCGCAGTTGGTGTCTCTGAGAGAAATGTCTCAAGTGGTATTGAGCACAACGGTAACGTTCTTATCTCCTTTCCAATATTCCTCTGATAGTTTCAAGAAATCTCATTCTTTCTTGAGCTCGGTTTTTAAATATCTGTAATTACCACCGTTTGCATGAAGTTGCTGTCACCAAAAATAATAACTCGGGGAAAGTCGCAATGCACTGTTTATTTTCAAACTTACTGGAAAATTTTTACTGAATGAAATTTCCAAAATCTCTTCATAATTTCAGCTGTTGATTTATCAAGAATAGTAACAGTCATGCACGCATATCTGTAGTAGGATTGTGCTCGTACATGTGTATACTCTCAGGAACATATGTCGAATTAAGGTATGTATCGAGTTCAAAGTTAATATTGCTGATAATGATTTTATTAACCGACCTTTGCAAACTGGAGCATCACTGGTCCAACGTCCATTGTCGCATTCCTGTGTCTTAGATCCAATCATCTTGTAATTTCGTAGACAACCGTAAGTTATTTTTTCACCGTGCTTGATCATTTCATTGTTCTTACTTCTGCCTTCCACATACAAACCTCCTCCGGGTCTTCTTGAAAAACTGCAACGAGCTAGGAAGATAATGTACTTTAAAAACGTTGCCACAAGATAGCTTCAATGGACAATAACTTATGAGAATAGTGTTTGAACTGTTTAAATACAAAAATACAAAAGTAATAATCCTGGTTCATCACAGTCTATGGATTAATCCATTGACTCCCCTTTTGCATAAGTCAAATTAAATAGATTTGCTCGATTAAAATCACGTACTAAAGTGCAGCAGCTCTCAATAATTCAAAATACACATTTTAAATCTGCAGTTTAATTTAAGTCTTCGAGCAATTTTTTTTTTCCAAGGGTTAGAAAAGGTTTGTCTCTATTTCGTGCACTATACAAATACTGTACATACAAATATGATCAAATTTTAACGATGACGGTCATCTATCGGGAACAAGCTCACCATTACAAACTGGTACACTAGTGGAATCCCAGTTCTTTCCAACGCAGCGTATTCTGTCGATTCCAGACAAGTCATAGTTGCTATTACAGGAATAGGCAACTTCATCGCCCTCGAGAAATCGATCCTTGTCCCCAAGTATTCTTCCATTGTATGGGGCTCTCGGTGGTGGTGGGCAAATACCTGTTCAACCGAAAACTCTATCAGTGTTCGATGTTTCTATGTTGTTTTTCTTTTGCGCAATCCCAAAGCTTAAACTTGTTTAAAGTTTAGTCTAACCTTTGCAGATTGGAGCTGGATTGTTCCAGTTACCATCATAGCATGTGATGGAAGAGGCACCAACCCTTGTATAGCCACGTGTACAATAAAACTTCACAGAGGCCCCATGTCTGAAGTCGTCTTCTCCTGATCTCCAGCCATGAGCTGTCGGGGCGAGTTTGGCACACGGTGCTGTGGAATAAAACAAGAAAAATCAGATAAAACGATTTTCTTTCTTAGGTTTGGTTGTTTGTTTGTTCGGGTATCAATTTCTTGCCGAGTATTTCGTTTTGTTTTTTGTTGTTGTTGTTGTTATTCTTATTTTTGGTTTGTTGTTGTCCTAACTGAATGTTTCTCAAGACGAAGTCATCGAATTCACAAAAAAACTGTCCAAAGTCGTAACTTTTCAACATCATCCTGATCCAGTGGCGGAAGTTATCTATTTAATCAGAACGCGATTTGGCTAGACGACGCGTTTGCAGGCAGTGCCTGGTTACCTTAGTAATTTTGTTACTAGTTCTCAATCGACGAGTGAGAGTGGTGAAAAGCATGCCTCTGATGCCTCGCTTTCGAGTCATATATGATTTGTTCAAAATGATAAATTAGAGGAAGTTATTTTCCATTTGCGCTTAGCAAAACCAACACCAATAGTTCAGTGTTTACGCCTTTTCTCTTTTGCTTTCGCTTTTAGTTCGAGTTCAGTGAGGTTTTCGTTTGTGTGTGTTTATTAGTATAATAGGTCAGACTCGATTACCTTGGGTCACTGCGGGTCGACAAAGGGGTAGCTTGAAGCTACACCCTCGGCAAAAAATTGAATTTTGTACATGTTCAACGAATAGTAAGGAAATTACGAGAACTTCAAACTTCCAAGTCTTATATCTTCTAGGCGGATGAGATTTTCCATATTTCTTTCGCGTTCCACTTTATCTCAACGAGTTCTGTGTACTTTTTGTGCCATAACAGAGAAATGAAAATTTGCCTTTAGCACGGTGACGTCATTTTCTCACCAAAAACCGTTAAAATCAGGAAAACAAAAAACAAGGATTGTTTGGGATAAAACGTTCTATCATTGGATCAAACACCCAAAAATTTTTCTGAGGGTGCAGCTTCAAGCCCTCTGCTGGCCCGGTGTGGTTTTTGTTTAAAAGAAAAAAAACTTACCCCTACAACTTGGCTTTCTGTTGCTCCATTGTCCGTCTGAGCATGTTATCGTTTGCACACCCTCCATACGGTAATCTCTAGGACACGTGAACGTAACTGTTCTGTCATGACGAAAGTCATCGCCAATCCTGTTTCCTTGATAGGGAAGGCCAGGGTCTGGGCAAGGAGCTATTAGATGAGAAGATATATAATAACTAAATTATAGCACCAACGGTGAGGTATGATGTCAAAAGCCAAGAGTTAAGAGTGTAATTGGTAATGATCAATCATTTTAGTAAAAGTTGGAGGAGGTCTTCGATTCCGCATTACATCTCTAGTTTCCTGGAATCTGGATATATATCTTTATATAATAGCTAGATACTACACGCGCTGTGATTGGTCAATAGAGTTGCAAAGCCTATGTTCTGACGTACTAGTAAACCACCGTTCCCGATATGGCAGCTGTACGCGCGGGAACTAGAGAACCCAGTACACTAGTAACGATGACAAATGTAATAAACAGTTTCGGATTTCACTGGCTGAGATAACGCGAATGTCCCAAATATATTTTCATTCAACACGTACATGGAAATTTGCAAGAAAAAACAGGACCAGAAGTTGGTCGGCAAATGAAGCTTTATCTTTTTTTGAGGGGCAAAAATTTTACACTGACTCCGGTTACGCTCGAGTTTAAATTAAAGTAGTATAAACCCTTTTTCCCGGCGCTTTCCAGGGCCTGTAGAGGACGAAGTCACCTGGGCTTGACTGATCAATTTGCGTTGTTAAAAAAGTAGGAGAAGGATTTCGAGTTAACATTAAACTTATCAGACGGCAGGTTTCTTTTGCAGATCACAGGTCACAGGTCACAATCAAAAAGCACTCAGTAAAACTCGTGATGTTAAAATTACCCGAGATTCCCAAGAGGTTTATCGATGTTTCCATGCAACAAACCTTAACTAAAAATGTTTTACTGTATAATTTTAATGAAAAGATTTCTAGGGGTGGTATATGTACGAAATGGGTTGAAATGTAGCTTTCAGAGATGTAGTGTT